GGATAGCTGGTCTTGGAGGGTTCAGATGCCTTTGTGGAAGGTTCCCAGATTGTTGTAAGGAGCTACCTTGGTCATTTGTGCTTTTTGGGTTCCTTGGAGAGTTCTCCTCATGTAGAGGGAGTTTTTTATAAGTAGAGTTTTTCCTTCCTGGGATCCTTGGATTTGGCAGATGTTTCTCTTTTTTGAGCTAGCACCTGGTAAGACTAGGGGGTTGTTGCTGCCTGGTATCTTTGTGGGAGGTCTGCCTCTTTTCCTCTTAGGCGGTGCCTTAGTTAGAGTTGGGTTCTCTTTCTCTTGTTGGGGTAGGTCTTGAGATAAAGCCTCAGTCATAGGGTTTTCCATATAGAGGTTTGCTTGGTAAGATGATTATGCAGCTGCACGGATGCTCAGTGCCGTAGCTGCCATTAAGCCTCTGGTCTCACCCTCTATGACTCTACTTCTTTTTGCAGCAGTTTCAGCAGGGTCTGGGTAGTGCAGGTATTGTATGGTGACGTCCCTGCACTCCTCCATGATCTCTTCTGTACTTGGGATAAGGGGGTTTGGTGGAGGGGAAACTCTCTTTGTCCAGATTTCTTTCTAAAGGAGGTCTTCTGCTGTGTGAGGATTCAGTACCTTCATGTCTGGTCTTGTCACCAGTAGCTTCCTTTTCTCGCCATTGTAGCTGGGGAGGTCAGTACGATGCTGAGATTTCTCTGCTGTTCCGCTGGTGTCTCTGGTCAATTCTCTATTTTCTTGAGGATATTTCTACATCTTTTTCTCTTTCATAGGAGTGTCTACTAGAGGGATTTCTTCTAGCTTGGTATTGTTGATGGTGGGGTGATTTTTGAGTCTCATAAGACTTATATTCATCTATTCTTCCTCTAGCTGTCCTTCTGTAGGAGACTCTTTCACCAAAAGGGCGGCCATATCTGTTTCTTCTTTGGGCAAAGTCCCTGCTCGGTTCTGGAAAGAGATGATGTCTCTGGGTAAATCTGGCTTGTAGAGGGGAGTTTCTTCTGGTCTGGGTTGGGGAGGGGTTCCTTTGTTGCTGCTTACTGAAATGTCTTCCCACTAGGCAGTCCTTCCC